AGAGAGAGAGAGAGAGAGAGAGAGCACTAGCTGTGTGCCTTGCATTCAATCCCCAATCCCCGGCAGCCAGGTCTGAGCGCAATTCCTCGGTTCAGTCAAAAGATGGCGACATAGGTTTGGGAAAGAGGTGAGTGCGCAGACGTTGTGAATGAATGGAGGTAGTTATGTTTAGTAAAGTTTCAGACAAGTTCTCGCTTCGTAGTTCTGTGTGGCCTGCGTAGACCGGGCTGCCCTGGAACTGGTCCTCCCGCCCCAGTCTCCCTACACTGGGGTGACAGCGCCGCTACACCGAGCTCTACAGTGGGAAAACAGCGCAGGTTTTGTCAGACAGAGCAGAACGTGAGGTCAAAAAAGTGGGGCGGGCTTGCACAAAGTGACCAGGGTCCACACCCCTTCCTCTCTGCCCCGCTGGGCAGTGCCTCTGTCAGGTCTCTGCACCCAGACACTCAATGCTCCGCAACTGACAGCGCATTGGCTCCAGGGAGGCTGCAGGGTTGGCCCTGCGCAGGCGCAACTCGGTAGGCGCAAGCAGGGACGAGCCTAAGGGTTTGTGGCAGCCAAGCTCTCCGCGCTTGACGCCCCGAACACAGAAGGTGCGCTCTGCAAGTGAATCCTCCTTTCAGGTCCCGGGAACCCATGGCTGGACCGCTTGCTTCTTCTCCCCAGGCAGGCTGCAGACTTGAGGTTTTTTTTTTTTTTCTTCCACTTTAAGTCACATCGTGCCATGGGAGACACAAGCTGCTTTAGTGTACCATCTGTCTGGAAGTTCGAGGCTGGATCCCGCAGTCCAGGCCCACACCTACTGTCAGAACTTTTCAAGAATCGTCACATCTCAGGACTGAGGGAGAAACCCGAGGCCATGAGGGATGGACCAGGGAGGAAGAGGGACCAAAAGAAGCTTGTGTTGTCGGAGGACTGGGAGAGTACCTGGCACCCACCGATGCAGGATACAAATGTCTGCTGAATGAGCACAGAGTGTCAGAAATCAGAGGAGTCTTTTTTTTTTTTTTAAGTTATTTATGTATACGCGTGCTCTGTCAACTTTATCCAGAAGAGGGCATCAGATCCCACTATAGATGGTTGTGAGCCGCTATGTGGTTGCTGGGAATTGAATTCAGACCTTTGGAAGAGCAGCCGGTTCTCTTAACCACGGTGCCATCACTCCAGCCCCAAAAGAGTCTTGAAGAGTGCACAGGGCTGCTCTGACCCGGCCACCTGTGCCTGCCTGCTCTCAGAAGGAGCTGCAAAGGCTGAATTCCCCAGAGGAAGGAGTCACTCTGGAGGTCAGGACTTTGGAACAAGCAAGGGTGGGTGCAGCCCTGAGAAGGCTTCAAGACGGTAAGCCTTTTTTCTAATGGTTTATTTAACTTTATTTTATGTGCATTGGTGTGAAGGTGTCAGATCCCCTGGAACTGGATCTTCAGACAGTTGTGAGCTGCCATGTGGGTGCTGGGAATTGAACCCAGGTCCTCTGGAAGAGCAGTCAGTGCTCTTAACCACTGAACCATCTCTCCAGCTTCCCCCTCCCCGCCCCGTGAACTTTTCTTTGACGTGTCTAAAGCCCTTGCTTCTTTTTAGTAATTAAAAAAAAAAAGTTTATGGGCTGGAGTGATGATTCAGTGGTTAAGAGCACTGGCTTCTCTTTCTGAGGACCCAGGTTCAATTCCCAACACCCACATGGCAGCTCACAACTGTCTGTAACTTCAGTTCCAGAGGGTCTGACACCCTCACACAGACACACATGTTGGCAAAACCACCAATGTGCATAAAATAAAAATAAATCATTAAAGAAAAGTTTATGTGTATGGCTGTTTTGTGTAGTATGTCTGTGTAAACTTGTGAAAGACAGAAGAGGGCATGGAATTAGAGACAGCTGAGAGCCACCGTGTAGGCTGGGAGTCCAACTCCCGGTGGTCCGGGAGCAGAGTCACCTCTCCAGCTACCCACCCCTTTGTTTCTTTCCTGTCAGCTGTTGGAGATGGCCGGTGAGGACCCAGGGCCCGGACAGTTCGTTTCTATGACAACAGCTTCCCTGAAGGTTTTCCTACGGTAAGAAGGACTTTGCAATAGCCCTCATGGTGACAGTGGCAGGTGACCACATCCCTGTGACAAGGGACACCAGAAGGTAAACAGACAAGTGATAAATGGACAGGGCACATACACAAAATTGTGGCACATACACAAGGGGCAGTGATGGCCTTGGAGAGCCAGCTTCTGTTGGGGAAGTCACTCAGAGAAACTGAGCCTTTAGCTGAATGTTATAGATGCCTAGATTCATAAGGAGGTAGGGATGGATGAATGGATGGATGGACAGATGGACAAATAGAGACCCAGCTTTTCGCAGTGGCTGGGCCTCCACCCTCAAGGACCGTTCACTCCAGGGCCCTTGCCTATTTTTGACAGCTTTGGAGGAAACATGCCCCTTCCTGGGTCTTGGAGCAAATCTTTATGCCATCCTGGGGACAGAGCAGGCCTAGGCCTGACCAGTGAGAATAAGGTAGGAAGTGGCCTTGTCTGAGTCTGGGGACCTCCCTGCTTTGCTCAGGTTCTCTTTCCTTCTGGAGACTGTCTTCCAGCAGCCTATCTCCCCCGTGCCCGGGTGTCAGGCAGGCCTCACCTGGCACCCAGAACAGCAGAGTCTGTGGGGTGGGGCATCTCAGTTAACTGCCTACATTCGTTTGCGGAGCCTCGGGTATAGGAATGGACAGTGAGCCAGGCCCCACCCTGAGGTCGTGGGACATGCAGAGTAATCCAAAGTGAACTACAGCCCCTGGGTGACTCAGAGTCCACGGGGTGTGCGCCCTGCTCCCCTCCCACTTTAGATATCTAAGGACTCCTCCCGATGTGTAAGTTCTAGGAGGTGGTGGGGTGGCAGTTCCTGACGGCCGGCCGACTCTGACCCAAGGAAGGGGAGCTAGGACTGGCGGGTCCCTTAGCCAGTTTGGCTTGGAATTGCAGGGTAAGGTTCATGAGCAAACTGGCTTTGGACTTTGACTTTTTTTTTCTTTTTCAGGGTCTCACTCAGTAGCCCTGGCTGACCTAGAACTTGTTATGTTTTGTAGCTATCAGACTGGCCTCGAATTCACAAAGATCTGCACGCCTCTGTCTACTGAGTGTGGGGACTAAGGGTGTGCGCCACCATGCCCTGCCAGGAGTAGCAACACTCTTGCTACACACTTCCCACTGTGTCTACCTCTGGGTGTGGGTCAGAGAGCACATCCCCGCACATCCTTACCAGCTCTCCGCCTGCTGTGCCTGCTGTGCTGAAGCCGAGCTCTCCCCTCCTCACCCCAAACCTCAGTCACGTCACCAGTCAATCCCAGCCCTCCACTGTGTTAGGATTCAGCACGCTGTCAACTGTCCCTAAGCAGCCCGCCGGCCTCTGCCCACGGTCAGAGGTGGTACCCTGGGAGCAGAGGCCACACAGAATCACAAAATGCTGAGGCCTTTGCTAACCCCCTTGTTGAAAACAATGGCCCCAAGTGGAGGAGCTGGGGTTACTTCACCTGAGGAGAGGTTTCCAAGGGAAGGAGGCCAGGACATTATCCCATCCCACAGGTCCAAAGACCAGAGGACAAGTCCCGAGGATCCAGTTTCCCAGGTTCAGCCTGGGGATGACAGGAGCGCTTGGCACTTGGCCCTCACTCCCCGCTGGCCCTGTTTGCTGGACTGTAAACGGTGTGCAGACAGACTTGGTGACAAGCCAAGGACAGGGTTTGGTTTGCTACAGGGGTCACTCCCTGTCCCTTGTAGAGATAGCAAGAGCTGAGCAAGGGAAGGGGGCGGGGGAGGGTAGGTCCCTTCAGGAGAAAAACTAAGCAGGCAAAACTGTCCCCTACAGACTGCAGTTGTCAATCAGGGCCACCTCCCAGGCCAGGGCAAGGCCTGGGGAGGCCATGAGAGCCGGACGCTCTATGCATACACTGGGCACAGCGCTGAAATGGTCTGCATTGGACTGGAGACCCAGTTCATGATGGCTGTGGCAGAGACAGAGTTAAACTGCCCCCCAAAGCCTCACTCTCTGGGGCTTCTGCTCCCCCTACCCTAGCCACTAGTTGCCTGGACATCTGGGAAAAAAACCTCACAACCAGCCAGATAGTAGAAAAAATACCTTTTTATTAATTATTAGGAATAAATCATTCATTTAATGCAGGG